GAGACAGGGTTTCTCTGTAGCCTTGGCTGTCCTGGACTCACTCTGCAGACCAGGCTGGCCTGGAACTCACAGAGATCTACCTGCCTCAGCCTCCCTCATTGCTGGGGTTAAAGGCGTGCCCCACCACTTCTGGCTCAAAAAAGCCAGTATTTCTAGGAAACCCTTGCATTTTATTACAAAAATCGTATGACTTAAAGGTAACAAATTTTCAGTATAGATTGGTTAAAAAGGAGAAATTATTAATCCTAAGTCTCTGTGAAGTTAAAAAAAAATCTATTTTTATTGAATTTAGAAGGCAGCCTTTTCTAAGCTAGAAGTTTCTTTACATTTTGTCCTGTTCTATACCTAGTTCTCTGTGTCTGATGCAAAAGATCAGCAGTAAGATTCCTGCGGTAGCTTCTGTGTATTCTGGTGGCACTGACTGTGTGCTTGGAAGGGAGGCTGATTTCTCCCTGCTGGACTAAGGGAAGAATTGGATTGGTGTAACTGATAGTGCCTGTAGATTTGGACACATCCTCTATAACACAGTGGTACGATCTGGCTCAAATAGTAAGCCGTGTGCCTAAGGGCTGACAAGACGGCACAGTGGGTAAAGACACTTGCCACCAAGCCTGAGGACCTCCCTGGCCCTCCAGACCCACAGGGTAGAAGCAGAGAACCAATGTCACCACATTCAAACTTTCAATATTAAAACTGTCCATTTCAAATCATGTTTCGCAATTAATTGAGGCTAAGTTCCAAGTAAGAAATGGTCCAGATTTAGATGCAAAATTCTAAGACCTAAAATATAGATTGAATTCTACATTTTAGAAGCAAGTGGAACATGGCAATGCCCACAGATCACTTACCAGCTAAGCTTGACTAGGGCTCAGTAAAGAAAGATAGATTTTTCTCTTTATTATTTAGTTTTATGATCACAGGAAAGGGGCTGGCGCAAACAATCAATGGAGTGAGGAAAAACTCTTATGCCTACAGCTTTGGAGGCTGTGTTTTCCTTACGTTGACCATTTGTAGTATGTATTATAAAGTTGCACAGAATCCCCTGTCCTAGAGCTTTTAAGGTGGAACCCTTACTGTTCATGGTACATTTCTATAAAGCAAAGAGAGACAAAGGAGTGGAATCCTGGCCATTGTAGGAATACTGTTCAGACTGATCTCAGTTATGAGAACGTGAGGCTTGTGTGAGTTGTCCTTGATGTGAGTGAATGTAAAGATGTTGCACACTGCTGGTAATGAGGTCAGGGGTAGAGTTAGGAACTAGAGTTCAATTCCTAGCTCTGCAAAAGAGCAAAGAAGGAGAAGAGGGAAAAAAGGAAGGAATTACCACTTGAACACCATTGTAAACAGGTGCATCTGATCTTCTAGAGTTTAACTGAGAAAGGACTAGAGGTGTGAGCAAGGGTGTAGCTCGGTGGCAGCACTTGCCCAAGCAAGGCCAAGGTCACTCTTTCCTCAGAACTACATAAGGAGGGGGTGGTAGATTTAAAAAAATTTTTTTTCTTCTTTTTCTTAAAAATTGAAACAGAAACAAACAGGTGGTGAGGGCTGCTGACACTAGGTAAAAGGGAAAAGAGGGAATGTCATAGCAGCACTGTAGAGATGATAGATACCAGATACTATTCCATTCTGGTTCACCAAGTTCTCTTACTGGATCTCTAGCCATAAAGCCTGGCTCTGCAGGCAGATGCTTGTCCACATTAAGAGATGGTGGCGTGGTACACTGAGAACAGGAAATGAGCTTATTTACAGTTTTGACCAAAGCTAGGGAGAAATCTCTGACCTTGCCTGTAGCAGTGACTAGATTGAAAAGATGAAATAAACATATGTAGATCTTCTTTGGCTGAGAAGGTGGGTGTATTCTGGTGTCCAGGCTCTTGGAGGCAGCCTGTTTTCATTCCTACCACTCAATTTTCTTGGAGGAACCCTAATTCTCAGGGTCTCCATTACACAATTTTAGTGTTTTTGTTTCATTTCCGTCTTGTTTGGAGCTATGTGAAAAACAGCAGCCGGACAGCATCTTCTGGTATTTTTACCTTTTGCTAAAATTAAATCCTAAAGTATCTTTGAGACCTATCCATATTTCAGAGCCACAGCAGCCCAACTCTACTTGATACAGCATTTTAGTGACATTTTAGTGTGTTTTTGCTTTGCTTGGGATGTAAGAAATTCATACCTTGTGCAAAATGATAAGTTAGAATTTTTTTTTAATCTTGATAATTTACGCTATATTTACTACACATACTCAGAAATTGTAAATGAAGTGAGAAACGAAAGAATGGTGTTTTCTTTTTATCTTCGGTGATCTCTGGGGTGGTACTTGAGCTCAGGGTTGCGGGGTACCTGCTGCTGCCATCCTCCTCCTTCCTCTGTTGTGTGGAGGGTTCATACTGCAGGATTGCATCCAAATCATGGAAGAACTTCATAGTTCTAAAGCTGTCTCCTGCGTTGTGGGCCTGCTTAACTGTCCTGTTTCATACTTGAGAATTTTATACTTTGCCCTGCATACTCTGTATACTGTAGTGATTGCAGTCTTTTAGCGATGTAAATAAACATTCCTTTATTTCTTGGTGTACCCTAAAGTTGTTTTCATAGATGTCTTTCTGCCCAGGCAGTAATAGCTTTAAACCTCCTCAGACCAGTGCTTTCTAGTTCCATTCCCCATGTTGAAAGTGACCTGGAAACTATTCCCTATTTCTAGCTAACGTTTTGTTTCCTAGGAAACCAGAGGGCTGGTAAGCTCCTAAGAGCTTGAAAGGATGTAGTTTAACTGGTTCACGCTGCCTAAGGGAGTAATTGAGGATTGGCCAACTAAGTAGGTTTGGTGGACCTAAATGGTTGCTAATCGTCCTCATTTGGGCTTTAGGGAAAAATTACCCTTGGGACAAAGGAAATGAAAACTATTTTGTGTGTGTGTGTGTGTATTTCTTTTCTTATATAATTTTTGTCTCATTAATATTATTGATTTTTAAAAATTACTTGGAAATGGTTTATAGTTAATATTTATAGATATGCATTTAAAAAACATTATCTTGTTTGGAGTATCAGTCTCAGAAAAGACCCCTTTACCCAGATTTTTTGGTTCTGTTACTCTCCTTGTGGAGCTCCTGTTCCCTCCAGGTCTTCCTATGTTCCCCTTCTTTCATAAGATTTCCTGCACTCTGCCCAAAGTTTGGCTGTGAATCTCAGCATATATTTTGATACACTACTGGGTAGAGTCTTTCAGAGGCCCCCTGTGATAGGATCCTGTCCTGTTCCCTGTTTTCTCCCTCTTTTGGTGTCCATCTTGTTTGCCTTTCTGAATGAAGATTGAGCATCTTACCCAGAGTCCTCCTTAGGTGTAGAGATTTTAGTATGTTTATCTTATATTATATGGCTAATATCCACTTAATAAGTGAGAATATACCATGTGTGTCTTTCTGCTTCTGGAATACCTCACTCAGGATGATCTTTTCTAAATTCCACTATTTGCCTGAAAATTTTTGATTTCTTTGTTTTTAATTGCTGAGTAGTATTCCATTGTGTAAATGTACCACAATATCTGTATCCATTCCTCAACTGAGGGACATCTGGGTTGTTTCCAGGTACTGGCTATTACAAATAAAGCTGCTACGAACATGGTTGAACACATGTCCTTGTTGTGTACTTGAGCATCTTTTGGATATGTGCCTAGGAGTGGTATAGCTGGATCTTGAGGTAGCATTATTCCTAATTGTCTGAGAAAGCGCCAGATTGATTCCCAAAGTGATTGTACAAGTTTACCTTCCTACTAGCAATGGAGTAAGGTTCCTTTTTCTTCTACATCTTCTCCAGCTCATGTTGTCACTTCAGTTTTTGATCTTAGCCATTCTGATGGGTGTAAAGTGAAATCTCAGGGTCGTTTTGATTTGAACTTCCCTGATGACTGAGGATGTTGAGCATTTCTTTAAGTGTTTCTCTGCCATGCATGGAGATAACTTAGAGCCCCTGCACAGAAGTAGCCCATGGCAGTTCAGTGTCCAACAGGGTTCTCCAATAATAGGAACAGGGACTGTCTCTGACATGAACTCATGGGCTGGCTCTTTGATCACCTACACCTGAGGGCCGAGCAGCCTTACCAATCCATAGAGGAGTCAAAGAAGTAAGTCTTGATGAGACCTGATAGACTAGAATCAGATGGAAGGGGAGGAGGGCTTCCCCTATCAGTGGACTGGGAGAGGGGCACAGGAGAAGAAGAGGGAGGGAGGGTGGGGTGGGGTTGGGAGGGGATGGGGATGGGGCCTACAGCTGAGATACAAAGTGAGTAAACTGTAATTAATAAAAATAAAATAAAAATTTGAATTATTAAAAAAAAGTATTATATTTTAGGCTGAATTGATAGCTCAGTGGTTAAAAGCACTTGTTCTTGCAAGGAGAGGATGCAGATTTCTCCCAGCATCCATGTAGCAGCTCACAAATTTCTGTAACTCCAGTTCCAGAGGATCTGACACCTCTTCTGGGAGAACCGGTCACCCATGTGGTGTGCAAACATACATGCAGACAAAACATCCATACACTTAGTGGGTTTTTTTTTTTTAAAGCATTGCATTTTGCCTGAGATTTATAGCTAATAATAACTTGAAGGGCATTGTTTCATGCTGGGGGTGATGGTGCATGCCTTTAATCATAGTATTATGGAGGCAGAGGCAGAGACGGGCAGATCTCTCTTGAGTTTGGTACAACCTCAGTCCTGCACATTTGATCCGTTACTTAATCTTCTTTCCATTTCTTTATGAATCATGATCGTAGTACCTACCCCCTGGCACTGTTGTGAAAGCCAGATTGGATCATTTCCATAAACACGGAATGGTGAAGCCTGGCATAGCAGGTACAGTTAGAACACTATCACGTTAGAGTCCAGAGAGGAGAGGCCAGTGTCAGCAGCATTCTCAGTGTGGTGAGACTCAGCTAATGGGCTTTTTTGGGAAAGGTGTTCTACAGGAAGCTAGGCTGGTTTAACAGCTGATACATTTATTTGTTCACAGGGGTCAGGAGAGTGCTGGTATTGTAACCAGTGATGGGAGTTCAGTGCCTACATTCAAGGTGCATAAGGTAGGTTTGCACATCAAAAACAATGATGTTAGAGAGACCTGTTGCTCCCTGGTTGTTAATATGTGGGGTGGAGGCCAGGCATGGTGGTGCACATCTTTAATGCCAGGACTTGGGATGCAGAAGCAGGTGGATCTGAGTTTGAGGCTACTTTGGTGTACAAAGTAAGACTCTTTCTAAATAAAGAAATATGTTTGGGGGTATAAATAAATTTGCAACTAGAAGCAATACTCTTGGGTCAGTCGACTTACTTCTAACTTTGTCCCCTCATAGGATCTGTTTCTTTCCTGGCAATCTTTTGCTAGTCTGGCTCATATAAGCCAGGAGATCATCTGTTTACATACTTTTAAGATGCCTTGATTTTTTTTTTAATGCCAATTTTAGTTCATATTTGAGAGATTGCATTGCCTAGTAATAAAATCTTACTGCTACCTGTCATTTGCTAATGAAGAATGTCATAAGATAGAAATGCTTCAGTGTTGTGGCAATCCTAAACTCCACTAAAGTGCTCACTTCAAAATGAGTTTAATGTGAATTCAGCTGGACAGTGGCGGTGCATGCCTTTAATCCCAGCACTCAGCAGGCAGGCAGATCCCTGACGTCCAGGATAGCCAAAGCTAACCAGAGAAATCCTGTCTCAGCCCACCCCCCCAAAAAAGTAAATTCATTCAAATACTGGAGCAAAATGACAGTGCGTGAAATATCCATCTCATTTGGGTCGCCTGAGCAGAGTCTTGTTGCTAGCAATATACCAGTTTCTCTTTTCTCCTAAGACCCCCTTTTGCTTTGACTTTTCAAGGGAATGGGTCTTGTAAATCATGTTTTCACTGAGGACAATTTGAAGAAATTGTACGTCTCAAATCTTGGGATTGGACATACGAGGTACGCCACTACAGGAAAATGTGAACTGGAAAACTGCCAGCCATTCGTTGTGGAAACTCTTCATGGGAAAATAGCCGTGGCACACAATGGTGAACTGGTGAATGCAGCTCGGTTAAGGAAAAAGGTAAGTTGTTTCTTAACAGCTCCTTCTGTGTTGTGATGGTGAAAGGAAGTTGAAGTTTGGCAAAGGGCATCTTCTGGTTATTGCCACTTATTACCTCTGTGCAAGAAGTCATTGCATCAGAACTGCCTGGCATGCCTACTCTAAACCCAGATTCTTGTACTCCCTAGGTGATTGGACGCAGGGCCACCTGGTGCTGTGCTTTGGACTGTTGGTTTATGGTTGCTGTCAGCAGCCGGAAGAGTCACTGTAAACATCTTATAACTCTGTTCCTATGCTTAGGTTGTGAGAGAGAAAAAACCAAGCTATTGTTCCCTATGGCCAAATTCAGCACAGCATATCCCTGACCCATGTGGGGTTTTCTTAGACCAACCAGTTGGTATCCCATAGTTCTGTTCTGCTGTGCCAGGTCCCCTGTGTCAGCATTCCATAAGAGATGCCTACTCCAGTTTTAGGCCCCAAACACTTAGGGTCTTCAAGCTATAAATTGATTTCCCATATTCCCATCTTGATTTTAGTAGCACAGAGGCTCACAGAATGCGGGAAAATGCTTAATTTATATGTGTTGATATAAGGGACATTATGAAGGCTCTGAAACAGGTAAAGAGACAGGTATAGCAGGATTTGGGGGAGGAGGCATGAGGACACCACTAAGCCATCTAGAAGCTCCATGAAGCCAGTCCTGTTGGTTTTATGGCGACATGCCTGCTAAATTATTGGCCTTCGGTGGTCATCTCAACCTTTGGCACCTGTTCCCTCATTGGATGTTTGGTCTAAGGCCGAATGGTTTCCATGGTTCCTAAAGCTGTCAAGGAACATCTAGCCACCAGTCCTATCCTTATCATATTATTGTACAAAATACACTTAACTGAGTGTTTCAGACAGGATTGTGTGCCACAAAAGATTAGGCTGAAATCAATATGCACTTGGCTTTTTGGCTCTCCATATCTCTCAAGTGTAGATTTAAAAAAAAAAATTAGAGTAGAAAGTAGAAAACATTGTCTGTTCTGAACATGAATAGCATTCTTCCTTATTATTCCCTAAATAACCTGTCAGTGTTTTACATTGTGTTGGTTACTATATGAAATTAAGAGGTGGTGATGGTGATTTCTAAGTCAGCCAGAGCTACACAGAGAAACCCTGTCTTGGGAGAAAAGACTGTAAAGGGAATTTTAAGTGGCTGTGTTGGTGTGAGGTTCTCGGGGTTGAGCCTTTCATGTGCTAGCCAAGCACTATGCCGCTTATCCTTAGCCCCATACCAATTTTTATTAGGGACATAAGCATTGCAGAGTGTGGTTTGGCAAGAGTCTAGAACTATTCTCCCATAGGTATCAAGGGCAGTGGTGTGGAAGAAAGTGGAGCGCAGATTCCATATTCTTTATCTAAAACGCTTAGGTGAGAGGCCTTTCAGATTTAGTAGTATTTGCGTGTACATTATGAGATGCCTTAGGGATGACACCAAGTCAACATGAAACTTACATGTCATGACACAAATTAAACACATTGGCTAAATAAAACTGTTTTGTGCTTTTTTGCGGGGTGGTGGTGGAGGGTTTAAGGACAATGTTTCTCTGTGTGACCTTGGCTGTTCTGGATTTCATTTATAGACCAGGCTGCCCTCGAGCTTACAGAGATGCGCCTGCCCCTACCTCCATGAATGCTGGGATTACAGGCTTGCGTTACCACGCCTGGGGTTTCTCTGCTCTAGCCACATAAAAATACGAAGATGCAAAGCGCAGCTCCCTTAGTGTCAACAGTTCTGAGCCTGTGGTGTCACCGCCCCCCGCAGTTAGTGTTGCCATGCTGGGCTTTACATGCCAGTGGCCCAGCGTCTAGTGTTACAGCCCTGAGCTTGAGGTGTTGGGTAGCCGGAGTGAGCCGGTGACTTTTGGCAGCCTTTTGGAACCCTTCCAGCACTCAGATTACAGCTTCTCCACAGCTGTTGCTGTCCACGGTTCTCTGCCGTCTCTCACCTTCCCAGTCCTTTCCATAGTTCCTTTTATTTCATTTTGTGTGTATGTATGTGGGCCTGAGTGTGTGTTTTGTGTGCTGTGTACATGATGGTGTCTCTGGAGACCAGAAGAGTGCATCAGATCCCTGGCTACTGGAGTTGTAGATGGTTTTGAACTGATATGTTGGTGTTGGGAATTGAACCTGAGTACTTTGGAAAGTACAGGTACTTACAACTACTGAGCCGTCTCTCCAGCCTCTCCCACAGTTCTTTATGCCTCTCTGAAATCTTCTGTAGCCTGTGATCCTGACCACTGCCCTTGAACCTTCTTCTAACTGTTCTTGGGTGTCCCTGGGATAAGGAGCTCAAGGGACCAACTGTTCTTCATACAACCAACTCGGCCTGCTGGACCCGTAATGAAAGGTCCTAAGTAGACAGCAAAGCTAATCCAATGAACTCACTAATCAAATTGGTGGCTGTGCCGTAGCACAGGAGCAGTGCACAGGAAGGAAGTCTCCCAGACAGATGGCCAGAGGGGGAGAGGACTATCTGACAGGGTCCGGAGAGGCTGTCCCTGAGGGGCTGATGACAACTGTGATGAGGACTGGGGGTTATCTGGATGGCTGCAGGCCGCGGATACAGGCTAGATTGTATAAAGGCTATCTGAAGCTCTCCTGGCATAGTAACTTTTGAGGGTTCTTGGCAGTGAAAGGCACACACCCCCACACACTGAAATAAGTCTTGAGGGTGTTCACTGTTGGTCTGGGCCTCCCCTGCAGTTGTCCTGACCCATTTATTTGGCAGCTGTCCGGAGTTCTTTCTAAAAACGATGAAACCCGAAGTTGTGGCTGTCACCTTTCCCCAGGAAACACCAGGCACTGTGTATCAGGTGACACCAGCAGTGTTCCTCACAGCCCTGCCGTATCTGGGGGCCAGCAAGATAGCAGTAGCAGCTCTGTAGGCGACTTCTGGCTTCTGTCTCTGCTCCTGGGTAACTGCTGTGCTGGCCAGGCTCAGGAAGGATCTGACAGCTGCCAGTCATGGAGCTGAAGGTCTAGTTCCGTACAGTTTCCTTTATCTAAAGAAGTAGGTAATTGGAAGCAATCACAGTGGTCTTCTGTGAAGTTACTGTTGTTAGTGTTAAAAGCCAGCCAAGTGGCCTCAGTGAGGGCTGGGGACTCTAGGCCCTTTGGAGCCATCTTGGAACTTAAAAAATTCTGTTTGGATTAGGAAATACTCTATAGTCTGGAAGCATAAGAAGGCATGTGAAGGGCTGGAAAGATGGCTCAGTGGTTATGAAAACTGTTCTGCTCTTTCAGGGGTCCCGAGTTCAATTCCCAGGAACCACACATACTAGATGCCCTCTCCTGGCATGTAGGTATACATGCAAATGAGCACTCAAATACATACAATAAGTAAATCTTTAAAAAAATGAAAGAAGGCATGTGAAGACAATGGAATATGAACTTGAAAATGACAAATATGAGAGACTTAAAAGCTGGAAACAATCACAGGCGTCTAGAGTGCGGGAGCAGGGGCAGAGTGCTTACTCAGGCAGCCTGTCCACTTCTGCTGTTTGGAGCTTCCTTTGTTAATGTTGCCCAGGCTCTGTCTGTGCGTGATCATTTCATCTTTTTGTTGCTAATTACATGGCATCTTAATATTCCTGGTATGGCGGGACTGTCTTGGACCCGCCAGCAATATAAATAGTGACGAGAAGGCTTATTAATATTTAAAAGCTTAGGCCATTAGCTGGGCAGACTCTCAGTTAGCTCATCTACCTTATCCTGACTATTCTAGCCCACAACCTACCATATGGCTCGTTCACCTGTGCTCAGCCCCAATACCTGTCTGTTCCCGTGTCCCTGGTGAATCTCCCGCTTCTCGTCTTCTCCCATCAGTCCGTTCTCTGCCCAGGAGACCTGCCTTCCACTTCCTGCTCAGATGTTGGCTGTCAGCTCTTCACTAAAGCCAATTAGACATAAATGTAGATTGCCTTATGCAGATGAGGAGGGAACAAACATTTAAGTTCAGGTTAGTGATAGTGTGCATACATGTGCAAAGACATGCACGCTTTGTTTAGCATTTTTAGAGCTGATGTCTCATAGGATAACTAGTTGCAGAAATTGAATGGTAGTGAATTGGTGATCTCAAATATCTAGAACCCAGGCTTCATGGCTGCTATGTCTTTCTGTTTTCTATTGTAGCTTTGGTCATCTCCAGCTGCCCTTTTGTGCCCTCTTAGTGGGCAGTGGCACTGTGGTGACTATAATACACATTTCTGTCCACAAATTAAGAAAATGACTTCTAAAGTTTAGACAATCACAAAAATCTTAATATGAAGTGAATTATAAAATCTTACTGCTTAGAAATAATCAACACCGAGAATTCAATTCTGAACACTGTGACATTTAGTCATTTAAAAATGTTGACTCCTATCTTCTCAGTGGCCAGAACTGTGGCTCTTCATTTATGCCAGCGAACTCCAGTTTGAGAGTCGTTGATGCAGTCTGCTGCTCTTAAGGAAGGAAGGTACCCTAACCGTCAGGATTGTGGAGGGTAGAAAGGGCCACAGTTCAAGCCCTTTGCAAGTGTGCTCATCCTCAGACTTGGGTTTTGCTTTATGTCTGCTAAAGCACTTTTTTCCTGCTTAGCTTTGGAGACCATTGCTGCCAGCAGTAGTCCCTGCTGTGAGTTTCCATGTACGGTTAGTGCTGTGTCGGGCTCGGAACTTGGTCTGTAGAGTGCCTGCTCCCTATTCATGTGCACTAATGCTCTAATGGTGAGACTTCTCTCTCCCGCAGCTTCTGCGGCATGGTATTGGGCTTTCCACATCCTCCGATAGTGAAATGATTACCCAGTTACTCGCATATACCCCTCCTCAGGAACAAGATGATACCCCAGACTGGGTGGCAAGGTAATTGTCTAAACTGGCCTATGCTGGCAGCTCCGGCTGTGAGAGCTGTGCTTGTGTGTGTTTACAGCCAGAGTGATTCATTTAGTTACTTGTCGTTCCAGAATTAAGAACCTAATGAAGGAAGCACCCACAGCATACTCTCTGCTCATAATGCACAGGGATGTCATTTACGCAGTGCGGGACCCGTACGGAAATCGTCCTCTGTGCATTGGTCGTCTTATTCCAGTTTCTGATATCAATGACAAAGGTAAGGAGCTTCAGAAGGCGTCCCTTTTCTGCTCCCAAGTGTGCGGTTACGGGAAGCTTATTTTCCCCTCCAGTTTATCTAAGTGTGTACATGTGTACATGCTGTGTATATGCGTGTGCTCCTGTGCTGGTTATGGCGGTCAGAAGAGGGCGTCTGGTGTTGTCCCCTGTCACACTCTACTTATTCCCATGTAGCAGGGTTTTTCCGGAACTTGAAGATTGCTGGAAGCGTAGCCTCAGCTGGGGTTGCAGGTATGTGCAGGATGCCAGGTTATTAACGTGGGTGCTAGGATCTGAACTCTGGTGACTTTGCAGCCAGCACTTCTGGGGTTTTGAAGCGTGTGCACGGGGCGGAGATGTACACACGTATGTGTGCATGCAGGTATGCTTGCATCGGTGTGTGGGTAGAGGCCAGAGGACAACTAAAGTCACATTCTTCTGTTGCTTCCTACCTTCCTTTTTGAGCCAGGGTCTCACTGAAACAGAAGCTCACAGTTTTTAGCTCGAGGGGCTGGCCAGTGAGTCATGTGGCTCTTCCCCCAGCGCTGGGGTTACAGGTGATTAACGTAACGCCATGCCTAGCTTTTAGCTGGTTGCTGGGATTCACACTCAGGTCCCTCCTGTTTGCCTATCAGGCACTTTACTCTGAACCCTCTGGCTAGGTATGGTCTTAGGTTTTAAGGACATTTCCGTAGCTGTGTCTGACCTTCAGTTCATTTAATACTGTGGTCCTATTTCTCTTGTTCAAGTCTTTTGTCTAACCTTTTTATTTTTGTAGTAATTTTTTCTTTATGACCTACGTATCGTTTTCCAACCATGATATAATGTTAGGAGGAATCTTTTGATTATTTCTCTTCTATTAATTAAGTCATGTTGCACCACCTGCTTTTAATGTGATACTAGTAGCTGCTTTTACCTATTTGGTGTTTACCTGTTCTATTAAGAAAGCCTCTTTTTTGTTTGGTTGTTTGGTTTGTTTTGCTTTTTTTGAGAGATGGTTTCTCTGTGTAGCCTTGGCTGTCCTGGATTTGCTTTGTAGACCAGGCTGGACTCCAACTGACAGAGATGTGCCTGTCTCTGTCTCCCCGAGTGCTGGGATCACAGGCTTGTGCCGCTGATGAAAAACCCTTTTTTTTTTTTTTTTTTTTTAACTATTTTACGCCCTGTGTTTGATGGTGCGTGAATGTCTGGGAGTCCATCCTCCTGCCTCATGTCTTCCAGGGATCAAACTCAGGTAGTCGACTTGGCAGAAAGCACCTTTATCCAGTGAGTCGTCTCACTGGCCTAAAAGCCTCCTCAAAAACAAAGGTTCCGGTGGTGTAACTCATTACTGCAGTGATTGCCTCGTTTGTGCAAGGCTCCTGATGCCATGCAAAAAAAGCAAACACAAAACAAAGAGTTCCTCGAACCTATTTACTAAGTTGATTGTCTTATGACTTACAGAGAAAAAGTCTTCAGAAACTGAAGGATGGGTGGTGTCTTCAGAGTCTTGCAGCTTTTTATCTATTGGTGCAAGGTAAGTTGTATCCTAGTCATTGTTTTAATTTTTCCTACGTTTATGGGGAGATTTTGTGCCAAATTTGACGACTTATGCCTGTAGTCTTAGCATTCAAAAAGTCTCAGGCAGCAAGGTTATGAGTTTAAACGAATCTGAGTTACACACACACACACACACACACACACACACACACACACACACACACAC